TTGCTGGGAAAAAATCAACATGCTGGGAATATTTTTTATTGCTTAGGGAGTCACCGAAAAGTTCTGTACGTTCAAAACGACCAGTATAAAAGACGGAAACGCAGAGCACGGGTGTAGTGTTCGGGTTAGAGTGGTGTAAGTGTGTTGTTCCGTTGTATTGATATTTGTGTGTGCCGTGTATGTGCTCAATGTATGTTCACCTGATGCTTCTAATAAGCGTAATGTGTGTATACTGTGTGTAGTAGAGGATACCCAAGCGCAGTAGTGGCCTAAGGTGAGCAAATTATTTTTTGTAGCACATGAATTGGGCGGTACCTAGCGCCACCTAGCCTAGCTACCTGCCATTAAACTGCTTGACTCCGCCATCTGGTGCCTAGCGATTTAACTTTTTACGCCACGCGATAAACAGCGGCATCGAGTTTGTTCTTTCGAGAGCGACTTTTGGTTTCGCGGATTGAGTTTGCCCTTCTCTGTGATATGCGGTTGATGAAGGAATTGTGACTTGAGGAACACCAAAGGTAAGACGCAAAGTGCGCGAAGTAACTGGGTATCGGCTGTCTCCGTTTAACATCGCAGTGCTGTCGACGAGAAGACTGAGTAAGTTCTTTCGAAACCCAAGTTTCTGTACCTGTGGGGGGAATCTGGCTTCGGAAATAAACACACTTTGCGGAAAGCTCGTGTTACGCTTTTATTTGCTGCTGCTCTCGTCCCCAAGAGACGTAGCGTCCTCGTCAAGCCTTATTGGGCTCGATTTGCTCGATTCGGGGCCGCCATATTGAGATGCAAGCGACGGATGAACTTTGCTCCCCTGCTTCAGGGACGAACGTTTCTCCCTTTCTAAAGGAACATAGGTTACAAGACCGTTCCTCCCCTAAGGGAGGACGATCCATACCCTTTTTTCGAAGGGTGTACTTCACTACGAGAGCAAGCTTGCCTGCTCAGCCGTAGGTGCTCCAGTACGTTCGATTTTTTTATTTGGCGACCGGACGTTTGACAAATACCGATTCAATCTCCAAACACCCGACATTAGGATCGCAGCGCACAATAAAATACTCGCCTCCAAGCACAGCGTACATGCTTCAATATGCTTACTTTTGTGCGTTTCTCCCATAGACTTGCGTGTATTGCCTGGTGTCAAGCAATGGCCGCCGGTGGCGACACCGACGGGCTCCCGATCCGCGATCCAGCCTACTAAAATAGAGATCAGTGCGCCCAACTATCCCTTCTTCTATTATAGCTGAAAAGGTTGGCGCCATCTACAAGCGACGACGGAAACCATACTGGTTGTGTGCTTGCCGCCGTCGCTTTTAGATGGCGGCAGCTGTCCAGGTAGGTTTGTGTTGACATACCGGACACGATCCTGTGCAAGCTAGTCCTTAACAGATCCGCTGTAAAAAAAGTATACCTTGTAATTTAAGGACACTTACTGAGCAAAAAACAGTCGTAATCCCCAATTCGGAAATACTAACCTGAGTTTTCATAAAAGGCCGCGATCTGCATGTCTTATGCTCTCGCTGGCTGCAGTTGTCGTTCGCCATGAGTAGCGACAGATAGTTCAATGCCAATTCCTGCGGCCACTCTGATAACTTTCATTTTTACGGAGGACAGCAATGCGGTAGGCTGTCCCATCGGGGCGGAAGCATGAAACTTCGGCGGCAGTACTCATGTACTTTTTAGAGTGAGCCCCTGCAGCTACAGAAGCCTGCAGGCAGCTGTGCATGGGTGCTGCCATAAATGGCCTTCAGATATCGTTTGTTGTTATTGCGTTCGCGTCAATTTGTTATTACCGTGACAGGACAGGTCATCGTCATTGAATATTCTACTGCGTCCTTGTCCCCAGCGTCGGCCGTTGTGGAGGCTCGTGGAGGCTCGCTGCTATGGCTCGGTGTCTTGGTTAATACAAGAGAATGTCCCCAATGGTGGCTGTAATTAGGCAGGTGTTTAAAGCGTCTATGCTAACTGGCAAGTTAAGAAACGCTTGGCATGATTTGTAACAGAACTGATACCCGCATTCATCCGATCGCGGTTCCCGCGAACGAATGCATTGTATGCATGCCTGACTTCGTGGGAACCAAGAGAAAGGGGGGACACCGCCATTGCTACGGACGTGAGATCGTCGAATTCTTCCTCATCCCGAACGCAGAAAACAACGTTTCATCGACCTCAGCAGCCTTATCAAGACAGGAAATAGAATTCGTCAGGCCTGTACTTTAAAGATTTCGCAACTCCCCGTAAAGAAACCACACCATCACTATAGTTCTGCCCGTGCTTCGTGGTTTTTTCCTCCCCTTTTTCATTCCCGTTTTTCTTCCGCATTATTACCCTAGGTTAGTTAGGATCTCGTTCAGTGTGCAATTTTTCTGCCCAAAATAAACGTTGTTGCTAAACGAAAGAAAGTGGTTGTCCTGTGCTTGTCCTTCGCGTTTCATTCTTTCGATTTCAAGGATCTGTAACGGTCACACTTCTTGCCTCGTTCTTCGTCGGTCTTAACGAATTATCTGGCAATATAATTCACTGAGGAGCGGTAATAAGATACCCGAGGCTGGCCTCACCCTTTGTTTTTTAAGTAGCAAGTGACCACGGTGCAGCAAATGCCTTAAATATTTTTCTTTTTTTTTTTTCTTCCTTGTTTTAAGTCTTAGAGAGCTACCACCGAAGACCGTTTGCCATTTGCCGTTGCTTCACCTGTCTTCGTCTTCAAGTAAGGCAAGCTGTCTATTCTACGAGAGCCTCTATTGTAGTGCATAAGTTTTCACCGTGAAATAAACCTGACAACGATCCTTTCTCCCCTGAACACTCCTCGAACGAAGCAGATAAAAAAGCGTTCACTTCATATAAGCACAGATGTATTTTTATGTCGAGGATCGCAATGAATATGGGTTCATAACGAATTGGTATTTAGGACTATCGTGTATGTATCTTTTATCAGCCCTTTGAATATCATTCTCCCGTAAAGTTAATTGCACCTTTCGTGGTCGCTTGTGATTACATAAACATGGCGATCCCAGCTGCGGTGACAAGATGCGCAAAAAAAAAAAAAGATTTGTAAGAAATTTTAAACTCAGTTCACCAATTTAGCGCCGAAAGAGAAAAAATTCGTGCAAATCGATTGAATGTGAAGGTCGACGAATACACGTGCTTACATCTACGCCATTACAAACGACAAAAACATTAAATCTTGATACAGGCATGTGCTGCCGGAAGGAATCACTCGAGACTTATATTCACGGGATAAAACCGAGTGACGTTAAGTGGAGCCACCACATATGCCACCCTTAGAGCAGCGCGCGGCACCCCTTTCCCGGTTCTCGTAAGGCCCCGTCATTTTAGTGCTTAGTACGGAGCTACTCTATTAGAGATCGTTAATATTCGAAAATACCAATGCCGAGCTCTATGTACTCTGGCAAAAAGTTCGAGCAAGCTCGGTTTGCGCCGTCGCGGATTGTTTAAACGTTCCTGGAGGACAACAAAACGATTCCTGCGAAAAAAAGTTTAGACAACTGAAAACAGTGATTTTAAGCACGGAGGCAGCTGAAGTCTTGTTACTCCGAACCATAGTATATTTAATGGATCTTCTTTTTTGGAAGATAGGACGTGCGCCATTGTCCTACATTTTAGTCTTTTTCGTCGCATTTCCCCCTCCTTTAAACAAGACAACACAATCAATGATTGAAGGAAACACGAGTACAAACAAAGAGGCACGAAGATGCGCAAAAAAAAAAATACACAGACACAGGTGCCAAAGAGGGCCACTGGCGGCCGCAAAACAGGATGACTGCACATTGATGGTCGGAAGACGCGCCGCGCAGCATAACTGACCTCAGCACCAGGAAAATCCTTGCGACGACACTATACGGGCTTCGGAACTGTAACCATGTCGTCAGAACATGGACTGAAGACAAGGCAGATATCGTCAATTATTGTCAGACTCTGTTGTCATTTACCTCCTTTCAATAGCATTCTCAACTCATCGTGTTACAAATCTTAATTCTTCGTCGCTAACCACCATCAGTTTTCCATGTCATCCTGTAGCTTTCAACACTGTTTTGGTGTAGCAGGGACAGTGAGGCACGGTTCTTAAAAAGGAAATCGGCCAAACACTGCGGAGCACTTCCTAAGGTCGATGAGGGTGAACGGGATGATCGATACCTCGCATGTCCCAACAAATATTACAAATATGGGCTGCCCCCAGGAGTGGATAGGGATATGCGTACAGGTTAAAACAGAACAATGTAATGGAAGTAGGGCCGTGCCCGCAATCCTGGCGCGCGATGGTCGGGCCGTGCCTGTGATTACGCAGTGGGTACGACAAACACCATCTAGTATATTCAATACCTGCGAATATCCTTCTTTTTCCCCGCGGGACATCATCACAGCCGGAAGGGGCCGACTCAGAAATTCAACCCAATCCTCATGCCAAGGTACTTCCATGCATTTATAGGACACGACGTTCAGCGGGACGCTGACGCCGCACTCGTATTCAATATTTGTCTACGCTTGATCTCAGTGTGATGAAGTCAACATGCTATGCTCCGTTTCTCCTTACGATGGACCGGAGAGAACCCTACGAGCTATCGGAGCCAATCCAATGCCACGTCAGCGTCACGTCACCTTTCGGGCGAACGCAGCGAACCACGAGACGCGTGGTCACGTGATAGGTTCACATATGCTGGATTAGCTGCTACGACTTGTAACGTCGGTTGCGGTTCATCGTAAGCTGAAACGAAGTATAGTGCAAGGGTTTTGGCTCTTCTAAGTGGTGTTGGTAGGGCTCAGGACTCTACATGTACACACTTTCGCGGACACTAAAACTGAATCGCCCAAAACAAAATCTGCATTGATCACATGTTCCTAGATTCAGTTCAAAACGACCTCGCCAATTAAACCAGGTCGTTTCTTTGTGTCACCGAACAAGTTATTTGTATTTCGCCAACAAACAAATGAAGTTGGAACTTGTTGATCAGGTGGACGCACTGTGAGTCGTCCTGTGGCTTCGCCCTTTTGTCTTAACGTTCAGAACTTCGTGGTGAGTGCCTTGCTTTGAAAACTCTTTCGTTCGGTCAACATGCCCGCCTTTGTCGCCATTTCGTTGAAATGCGAATTTTCATCGGCGAGTAGCTGATCAACTGGCCCGTATTCGAGCACTCTGCCGGCGCCCATCACCAGGATCCTGCAAGACAAGAGAGGGACATGCGTTTCGGAAATCTTTATGAAGACTGAGAGTACTCGCTCTCTAGCAACACATCTCTCAAGCACAATATGCGCCCACAAGCTACATCTTTAGATACTCGAAAATCACGTACTTGTCGTAGTCCAAGATGGTGTTGATGCGGTGTGCTATAGTCAAAAGAGTGCATCCGGCAAAGCTCTCCCTCAGCGTCGTCTGGATCAAGCGGTCCGTGTCCCCGTCCATCTGGGACGTAGCTTCGTCTAAGACCAGCACCTTCGGCTTTCGTATTAGCGCCCTGGCCAGGCACACCAATTGCCTCTGTCCAACGCTGCAGAAGGAGTTGGAGAGACGCTCATCACGTCAGGGTCAAAACGATTCGTCACAAAAGAATCTACAATGCGGTCCTAAGTACGAAAAAATTAGAAAAAGTAATTGTAATGCAATAGTCGGGCGACTTGTTAGGGCTTTCGCATCCTCAGAGGAATGGAGCCTCCTTGACGTCGCAGTTTCACGTGTCACTATACGTCATCCCTAAAGGAGCTCGGAACGTATAGCGTTTCATAGGCCCCATAAATACAATGCATTTACAACCCCTTTAAGAAAAACCAAAATATGGCGATTCTTTTTTTTTTATGGCTACCACTGCAAAATTTTTAAAGTTTATTTTGCGTTTAAGTAAACTGTGTGCTCAACTGGCGTTTCTGCAGAAATGTTGAGCTCTGTTATATAGGATGGCACAGTAAACCTCACTTTCAAAGACAAGCCGCAAACATTGCTGCCTCCAGATAGAAACTTCAAAGTGATGCATTTTAGTTTAGGAAGTTTTACACTATAGTTCCCTTTCTGTGCAAAAATGAAAACAAACTAGTCAGGGTCGGCGGCAGAGGGTTCACAGTAGTAGTGCAAAAGCTTGATAGTTATATCGAGTCTACAGATAATGCATGCCAAATTTTACTATCGATAGTGAAAAAATATCACTAGTCGACAATGGTAAAACTATTGTAGTATACTGTTGATACTCGACTATCGTAAAATTATCAAAAGTACAACCAATAGTCGACTATCATCAAACTATCGATACTATACAATCGATAGCATACTATCGTGAAACTCAATAGCACACTATCAATGGTTAACTTTTGTGAAATTGCTTACAGTCGAATATCAAGAAACTATCGCTAGCCAACTATTGTAAATCTCTGGATTTTGTTTTCTAATCTGACCAAAAGCGCTATGTGTTCATCTACAAAATGTAGTCTAGCTCGGAGAAAAAGGCGACTGCAATTAAGGACTTCCGCATAATTATCGAGGAACAATCTAAAACATAATAAACAACAATCAGAAAATGGTAGAAATCCTTCCTAGAAACTTTTGACAATAAACTTTTAAAATAATCGATTGTATACGTTAGAAAATCTTAATGTACCGTTTTTTTTAAATTATTATTTCAGATTTGTTTAAAACAAGCCGTGAAAGCTACACTTATGCGGTTTGTGCAGGTGAGTTATACGGAAAGGGGAACTTAGTCAAGGGAGATAGTCGCAGCTATCAGTCGGCTAATGAAGTAAAATGTGTTAATTAAATTTTTAATTATTGCAAATAGACATATAGTTTGAATTAGAAACTTGGTGAGCATCATCGAAAACCACTAAATCAACTCTTTTTAGAAGGATATAACGGCGACCGGGTCGCCACGGCGTGAAGCCACCTCCTCGCCTCCTTCGTACAATGGAGGTAAGTAGGGCGCACGTGTGTTGCGCGTCTCAGCCACTGGGGAGCAGGACCGAGGGCGCGTAGATGAGCTCCGATAAGAAACCAAAATCTAGAAACGTGTCCAATGAGACCGCTTTTACAGAACGCCGTAAAATGCTGCCCCGGCGTTATAACCTTCTAAAAAAAGTTGATTTAGTGGTTTTCGATGATTTTCAGCAAGCTTCTAATAGGAACTGTGTGTCTATCTGCACCAATTAAAAAGTAAATTAACAAATTTTACTTAATTAGCTGATTGATAGTTGGAATTATCTTCCCATACTATGTCCCCCTGGCGGTATAACTCACCTGTACAAACCGCATAAGTGTAGCTCTCGCGGCTTTTTTTAAACAAATCTCAAACAATAAAACAACACCATGTATATCAACTTGATAGGTTGATGAAGTTTTTTCTGCTCTTTTATAGCGCCCTCCAGGGTGTGTCCTCTGCTATTTATAGGCGGAGCTCAATCAGAAAAATGGAAATCCTTGTCGCCCCTGATAAATGAACTCTTGCTTAAATCCTGAGCCTTGCTTGAATATGATGCTAGCGATGGTCATGAATGCCCGTGTAAAGGGGATATGACTTTACCCGGATGAAACGCTAAGTGTGACGTTTTTTTTTTTTCGGATCAAACAGGCTGCGAGAAAGAAACCAAATAACATTGAGTTTCGGACTGACAAGATCAGAATACATTTTAGCTTTTTTTACTTTTATTTAAAATACAGTTAATGGATGTTCTTAAACTAATTGTATTTGACGAATGAAAAACTAAAAGCATCAGTAACTAACCATGATGGCTTAATATAAGCTGTTCATCTGGTAATGTTAAATTTGAAGTCCCCACAGCAATCTTTCTAATACATTTATAGATTCGAACATATTTATTTATAGGTTATTTTACAAGTGTCTGTATATTTAAAGTTGTATTTTTCCAACAAGTAAATCTTTTCCCAGCCACTTTTTCTTAATGTCTGCCAAATGGAACCTAACAAAAAGTGGCAACATATCACGCCATAAAAATCTAACTGCTTTCGTGTGAATCTAATTCTCGATCATTGGGAACTCGCTAGAATGGTCATGAGCAGAAAAAATATTGTCCCCTGCAGAGTGTTTATATTTGCCTGTAAGTGCTCAAGGCTATGAAAAGTAATGTGTGACAATTGATTAATAAAGTAAACACAAGCGTGAAACAAACTTCTGTAAACCCTTACGCTAAATGTCATGTGGATGATGACGCGCGTTGTTGTTTAAATTACGAAAACGAAAGACATCGAAAAAAAAAACAGATGACACAGGCTTTGGGCTTCAAACAAAATGTTTACTGGGTTCACTTGGCCTCTTGAAGTTTGACGAAGCCCGATAGACGCAGCGAGCAGACGACCGAGTGCGTCATCTGCTCGCTGCACCTATCGGCAGATGGGGTCCCCTGTTCCTACCGTAGCTGACTTGGTCGTGTACGAACCCGCCTGCCGCGGGTTCGTACAGTATATCACTAAGTAATTCGCATAACCTCATTGCACATTTGGTGAAAGTTTGTTTTCTACGTGCAAGTAACAATTTTCCGGCCAATTTTACACCGTACGATCCACTAGCCACCCTATATACATCGTGCAAGGCAAACTCACCCTTTCACTAACTTTGGTCATGGGCACCCATTACTCACTGAAGTCTGGACACACAAGCAATGGGTGCCTACGGTTAGGAGATGTAGCAAGGGGCGTTTCTCTTAAGACCAAGTTGGCCGTCGGGTTGTCCAGAAGGTAATGAATTTTTATAGACCATGGGTCTCGAAACGTTTTGGCTAAAGGATCGGAGTAGGAATCTGTCACAGGCTCGAAGGCGGGACAATGAATAATACAATATAAGTGGTGAAACACTAAATAAATGAACCTAAATTATCACTTCAACACAGAGCTCTAACTTACAGCAAAAAATTTAATAAACAAAAATGTAAGGTGAGTGAAGCCATGTACTCAAAGTTAAAATCAATATGTCGCTGCTTATAACATCACAAATTATTTCTGAGCCAGAAAACTCAGTTGGCATAAATGAAAGCGCATAGTAACTTTGGTATACTCTCGCAAGGCAGAAGACTAATTAGAAGGGTTCATCTGAAGATGACAATGTGAAATCGTTATGACACCTGACACTCAGCACGATATACAGAAGGACGCCAAAGAATTTTAATATAGCTACACAATGATGAAACACTGGACCAGGAATAATAATGCTGGCGATGATAACGCACAATAAATGATATGGCGAGTGAATCCCCGTTTTGATTCCGTTTTCTTTCATTCCTTCTGATATCTTCGTCTGCGTTTTTAGCGCGCACCGCAAAGTATTCTTTTTTTAACGTGTGTTTAGTTTTGCCGTGTCAGCAGCAGCCGCGGGCCGGGTGTCACTCGAAAGATCTCGGCCGTCCGCCGGCTGGCCGGAACGCCTCCGTGGACCGGGGTTCGGAGACTCGTGCTACAGACAAACGCGTTGTTTACGAATAAACTCGTGTGTGCCAACGCCAGGTGCCGGCCCTGCGCATGCATATTCGTGGGAAAGGTGCACACAACGTGCGCATTCGCGCGAAGGGAAGCGTCCGGGCATACCCCGCGCCGACAGCGGCACCACCGCAGTTGTGTAATGACAGAGCCGCACCTTGGTGTATAGCTCAGACCCTACAAACGAGATACCCGAAATTCGCCAACCTCTGAATTCACCCTTGATCTACACTTGAAGCACGGAACGACTGAGGCCTGGCGACCAAATTCGAGGCTGAATTTGAAACGTTTCGCTGGCGAATACAAACAAGTCGCTAACGGGACTATTCCCATTGTGTTTTATGCCGACACATGTGCCGGACTGACCTCAGGTTGGAACCACCATCGCCTACTTCCACGAAGAGCCCATTCAGCTGGGAGGCCACGAATTCCACCAGGTGAGCTTCTCGCAGTGCTTGCCAGAGTTCTTCGTCTTTATGGCTCCCAGTGGGATCCAGGTTGTCCCTGAGGCTGCCCCGAACGAGGCCTGGGTCCTTTTTCAAGAGAAAAAATAAAACAAGCCTCAAGGTACTAAGGCACCATTCCGGTAAATACCACAATGCCTCTCTTCGACCACACATTGCACCACGCGCCGCGGGTAACTGTGGGGTCATTTTGATGTACGCTTGGGTCGGCTGGCACCCTTCGTAAATCCTGGAACGATACATCTCCTTTACCGTTACCACTGCTAGTCCAGAAAACAAAGTCTTAAGATTTTGAGACAAGCGGTCAGCTTCAAACTGGCGCCATCGTCGGCCTCTACATCAGCGCCCAAGCTTAACTATATTGGATTTTTTTTTAAATTTAATAACAAAGTCACGGATTTTGTTTAACTCTTAGAATCCGGAAACAGCAAGAACGACCCACTTATTTCCGGAAGTTCAAGGAAATAATACCAAGATATTTACTTCCTGGAGCAATTTATCAAGATCCCATAGACCACAACAAAAAGAAAAATGAGCGCAGACGTCTATCCAACGGAAAAAAATGTAATCCTTAAAAAACCAAAAAAAATATTCGCTATTTTTTTATATGTACTATATTCAGCATATTTTTAGAAAACGTCGTAAAATGGCCATTTTCTGTCGAGTCAGAGGCGTTTGAAGTTTCAACTGACGAGTTTGCCATCGTGAAATAAAACTTGTTATCCAAGCAGACGTTTCGGCCTCGTAGCCTTCCACAACGCTGCAACGTTTTATATGATAAATTACATGCTTAGAAGAAGCAGTCCAGTGATTTCAAGGCAACACTTTTTTGCAAATTTCAAGTGTCAAAATGCGCGACTGTGATTAGTTGATCTTTAAAAAGGTGCGCCTCACGCAGGAAGCCACAATTATCAGATGAAAATATCGAAATGCTACAAATTTTGTACCTGGGTATATGTTCTATTGTAGTCCGAAAAATATTTTGTATTAATGGCATCTTTTTTTGTGTGTTCTTTTCTTAGAGTCGATTGTTGGGCTAGTTGGTTTTGGAATTTGGAATACATTTTAGCGCTCAAAAAACAGGGACAAAGAGGCGAGAAACAGACAGCACAGTGCGCTTCTTTTCTTAATCTCGTTTCTCGTGTCGGGAAACGTAATTTTGTGCTTTGGAGGCGAAGACTTGCAGACATCTTGAGCTAGGTACACCTTTCACAGGAAGCAACAATTAGCTGAAAAGGTACAAATTATGTCTATTTTGTAGCTGGGTATTTGTTGTATGGTATTTTGAGTATCATATATCTGGCGTATTCGGTTTATTTTTGGGGGGGTGTTTGAAAATAATTTTGGTGTCGGAACACATAATTTTAATTTTTTACTAGAATGGACAGTTGGGCCTGGTTTGCATAAATTCATGATAAAAACGGCGCGCAAACACAAGGACACAAAAGAGAGGAGACACAAACAGCGTTTTGTCTGTTTATTTTCTCCTCTATGTCCTTGCGTTTTAGCGCTGTTTCTCATCGTGCAATTATTTTGCTCGGGAGACTGAGAGCCGCGTGCCTTTTTAGCAGTTGAGCCTTCCGCAAGAAGTCACAATCATCACTTGAGGAAACACAAGTGATTTCTATTCTGTAGCTGGGTATGTGTTAATTACTGTAGTCAGTTTATCAATCGGTGGGAGAAGCGTGTAGCCTTGGTTGATGCATATGATAAGACGGGCTAACCTGCCCACCGACACGCGCGACCACCAGCTCTCTTTCTAACACGAAGTTTATTAACGCTCCTCGTACGTGTCGTGCACTAGGGAGGTAGACCGGGGGGGGGGGGGGGGGGGGGGGTTTGAACTGAGGTGATCTAGCAAGTGGTGGAACCTTTTCACGCGCACCACACTTGACGCCTTACCTGAGGAATTACGGTGACCCCGTTCCTCAGTCTCCTCAGCGGAACAGCTTTGATGTCGACGCCGTCGATCCGGATGCTGCCCCGCGAGCTCTTGAGGATCCGGAGAAGCGCCAGAACCAGGGACGACTTGCCGGCTCCTGTTCTTCCTACGACACCCACCTTCAAAAAGAACAAAAAAAAAAAAGATAGAAAACAGAGTTATGATGTTACCCAAAGGGTTATAAGGCCCGCACTGAAACCTTGCTATCTCAACTTGCTTGCGGAATTTCTTTCGGCTCACTTTCCACATTAGGATGAAAAACATGCTGTGTTAGGAATGGTATTGCCTGTCACGTCTGCTGTGAAGCCTGGTCAGAAAACAATTACATTAAATGTAATGTACACAAAAAGGACTCACATATGTCGTGATAATACTTTTAATGCAAAGGTGCAAGTGAGCTGGACAATAATAACAAAAATAATCATTGGAGAAGAGGAAGAAGCTGGGCAAACAAATCTCCAAACACAGCTAGGTGACGGGTGCGTGACCGTAAAAATCCGCCTTGTCCTTGCATCGAACCCGTGACCTCTCCATTTCCAGTGGAGCGTCCTACAAGCTGAGCCAACCAGCAGCAGACGTCAGTAGAGCAAACGGGATCTATCAGGTGCCACCAATCAAACTCCTGGTTGACTCAGTTGGTAGAGCTCTCCACTAGAAATGACGTGGTCCCTGGTTCGATACCAAGACCAGGCAGATTTTTTTCGGTCGCGCACCAGTCACCTAGTTGTGTTTGGATAGTTGTGTTCGTCCTTTGTCCCACTTGCTCCCACTTTTCAGAAATTATATTCCTGATCCTTGTCCAGCTCGCTTGCACCTTTGCATTAAATGCATTATCACCGTAACCTTAAAATGCAGTCCGTTCACCTTTGCTGGTGTTTGACTGGTGGAAGCTGATAGAACCCGTTTGCTTCACTGACGTCTATCTCCTGGTTAGCTCTTGCAGTGCATTTTAATGTTATATGATTTGTGCTACTCTTTTTTTTACAATAATTAAAAAAAAGCTCCTGCTTAGCTCACTTGGTAGAGCGCTCCTCTAGAAATGAAGAGCAGTCTGGTTCAATACCAGGATCAGGCGAATTTTTTTGGTCGCGCACCAGTTACCTAGTTGTTTTTGCAGATTTGAGTTTGTTCTTTGTCACCCTTGTTACCCATCACCAGGGGGTGCATTTTCGTCCCATATGTCGGGTAGGAAAGATTTTTTTTTATTATTTTTAAAGCATTTTGAGACGAAGATTGGTTTACAACGTATTGCACGCGAAAAGAAGCAAAAACAACAACTGCAACCAAGACATCTACATTACAGGCAAACACGAATATTAAAACACATCTCTTCCTTTTTAGTTTTTTTTTTTAAGTTTCTTTTTCTGTCAGATAACTGACAGCCACGAACATAAAGCTACGATGGCGCTCAGCTCATTACACGGTTGATTTCTGCATTTGCTTTCACGATGTCGTTTCTAGCGTACAGGCACGTTTAAAGCTATACACTCTCAAGAAAAAAGGGTGTACAAAGGTGTATCGTTACACCTTTTGTCTCATATAATACACCCCCAAACTTCAATCCGACGTAGAGCGCCCTAGAGTCGAACAGACGGCCCCAAAGTTTACGAGGGGATTGATAGCCGTGTGGTACCACTTATTCAAGTAGCAAATATGTGTTTTACTGACAACAACAACAAAAAAAAATAATCGGGGCTTTCTTGGCCCTACTGTAAAAACTTGGTGTTTTCTTTCTGTCGTTTTTGATACGTACTTTAGCTATTTTATAAGTTATATTGAACCGTTATCAAGCCCCTCGTAAAATTTAGGGCCGTCTGTTTGACTATAGGGCTATGCACGTCGAAATTAAGTTTTGGGGTGTATTATATGGGACAAAGGGTGTAACGATACACCCTTTTACACCCTTTTTTCTTGACAGTGTAGAAGCATCATTTTGACAGCGATCGTTGATCAATATTTTAATAGCATGGGACGAATCCCGATTACAGCGTGAGAGTGAAACGCTCCTACGCTAAATGAACACGAGGAAATATGATCTGACTCATCGGCGACGTTTCGTGACTTAGATGGTAGATGAGCTTCACGTCGAATCTTATTTTGACTACAAGGGGAGAAACATTCCCGGTGCCAATCAACTCGAAAGGAGCAGCCAAGAGTGAAAAAAGCTTTTTCCTCTTTTTTTCTAATGGAAAGCCCCACTTGAAAGTTCACAAAATTACGCCGGAACACGAGAATCTCGTGAGTGAACGGGACTCAAGACAGATTCTTTACTCAGATAGTCATGAACAAACATCTACCATTATGTACGGCTCTCCAAGCATGCAAAACATTTAAAAATATACTTTTTTTTCTTCTTTTTTTTTACTGTCGCTCCCTCTAGTAGCGGCCGCAGCAAATATTCGAGTCCGCCATTGCTCTGAGCACGTAGTCTGAACACGTACTCTGAGCACGTGCTCTGAGAACATATGGGAGATGAGGGCAGCGTCAGCGTTCGGTAAGAACACGGGTTTGCTCGTATCGCAAACGACTCTTTCGTCAACATTTGGTCAGGAATCGAATCCAATCGCACGCTTCTGCGCTAAGAAAAAATGGCGAACGCCAATAAAGCTTGACGGGGTTTTGAAAAGGGTCAACTGAAGATGCCAAAGCAGCGCTAGCTCGTCTCAGACTTTTCAATTAAATTATAGACGCTTTCAATCTCAAGATTAAAAACGTCGTGCTTCTGCGTAATTGTTGTTGTTCTTTTTTTTTTTTTTTGAGGGAGGGGGGGGGGGGTTATTTAGATATTTAAACCGAAATTCAAATATCTGAGTGCAGCCATAATCAGCTTTTTAGCGGCCTTCTTTATTGTGTTCTGAAATTCAAGCTTGCAGGTGCTTGCACAAAACAAATATCTATGTGTTGCAGACATTTGTGAAGCGCATGGAAGAAAAAACCATGCTGGGTGCCACAATAATTGTAGTAAATAGTGCCAAAATTATTTTCCGCGTGAAAATAATTCGCGTGTTTGTTTTCCATCCTCTGCCGACACGGGTCGCAAGAACGCTGACATCGTTATCGACTAAACTTAGCAACCAGATGGGAGAGGGTGCTTATAAAATTGAGCCATTTCCTCCTCCCCCTCCCCCACCCCCCTCCCTTCCTCGCACCAGAAAAGTGGTCGACCTGAACGAACATGCATAGCGTGCATAGTAAATAGACTAAAATCTGGCAAGGAAAACTTGTATAAGCGAGGAAGAAAATAAAACACACCTTTTCCTCTGGCTGAACAACAAAAGTGACTCCTTTTAGGACATCTGGCAAGATCCCGGGCCGATAAGACGTAGCATAATCCTTGAACTCAAGCTTGCCTTCAGTTGGCCATTTCTGACCCACGGGCAGAACCGAAAGGAGCTCCGGCTGAATCTCGCCGTCCTGGTACCTTGGTTCTATGTTAACATCAGGCTGTCAAATGAAAAGAACAAATACTTTCCATCCTCCAAATCTCACACTCGTCTTAAAAATAATATATATGAATTTACTTGGGAACAGTTCTAAGAACCCCATTAATGTTAACTGGTGGATATAAGAAAAATTACTACTCAGTGTGCGCCAAAAGGCATTGAGGGCAGGTCACGGGGTCCAACAGTGTGTACCGGCTACTTCATTGTTAGTGCACCTTATACCGTAATTTCCAGAGTATAATCTGCGCACTTACCATGTTTAATTTAAAATATTACGTGATGTGGATTATTTATACACGTACGCACTATACAATTTTTGTTTTTATTTCTAGATTGCTCATTACCACGAGAAGCGACGAGCTTTGAGCATGACAAAACATAATAATTATGGTTCAAGTATGATACAATCCTTTCATGAGCTAATAAAGCACGCAATTCTCAAGGTTTGATGAGAAGTACAATTTTAACGAGCGGACTGTGCACCAGGGGCGCACAAACTTAGGAAAACCCCAATTTGTAAACCGAAATGTGCCCCCCGCGGAATGTACAACACGTGCAAACTAGTGTTGCCAACTCGCCAATCAAGAGTCCGCTATAGGAATTCGGACAAACCGCTATAAACCACAGACTTTTAGGCGAAGGGCAAGAATTACTTTTAGCGCAATCTGCTGATAAGTCAAAATCACTGCAATAAACAAGGGAACCCTTAAAAGGAAGCTACGCCGATCGCATTCATACACAGAACAATGTTCACTGAATGATCTTACTCTAGTGAGGAGTTACAAGGTATGTTGTCTTGCCATACCTGCCGAAGTGCACCTCCAACTTTCCGTTCTTTAGGGCCACATATGGTGCCGGGTCAATGCTTCAGTGACCAAATGCGATGTTTTGCAAAATATTCTATGTTTAGTGTTTTATGGCTTCACTAAGAAAGTTCGGAACTTTCAGTAGCGAGTCTCGAAGCTTAGAATTCAAACGACCTTTTTTTTATATTTGTACATAATTTACAGCGCCCATATCAACCGGCCGACTTGAAAAATAATTTGTACATTCACTCATAACTCCGCTTAAAGCATGTTTCGAGGTTTGCCACCGTAATACCCCAATGCCGTCGCATACTTACACCGACGATTTGCCTGACAATAGGCAAAATGTAAGGCACTAAAATAGGCTTTTTTCACATAAATTATGTTATTCGTTATTCATAAATGTAAAATCAAGAGCTTCTTAGATAGTTTAAAAAAGCTAGCATTACTTTAGAACGGTTAAAAATCCCGCCACTTGCAAAACGGCCATGTATGCATCTGGACGACACAGAATACCACTTAATTTAGCGGGGATCCCGCTAAATTAGGAACATTGGTGTGGATTCTTGACCAGAGATAGTTTATATGTAGGTGTATTCAAGGTGCCCGCATATATCGAAAATTAAGGGCGCATTTTTAAGCTACCCAAGCTAAACACGTTTTCGGAATACACAGCTTTAGTATACCCGGCACGATATATGTTATGTTTAAAATAAAATAGCTATTAAGAAAACGGCAAGTGATGGTTATGCCGGAACCAGCATTCAAATTGTTCCGCCTTCTCGAGCGAGGTTTCGTCACATGTTGTCCACCTTGCAAGTCGCTCAGAAAGTCCAAGAAACATAGCATTTTGCGTTTTTTTTTACTTGAATTGATGGTGTGAACTTCGCACCATAGCACTTGATGGAGTGCGTTTCACACCATAACACTTGAAGATGTGAATTTCACACCATTAAACTTCTTATAGCCCGTCGGGAACAAGCTGCAAAGCACCTTAATAGTACATTTGACGTCACGTTACTAGTAAAGCTTCTCAAGCTCTCAAACAAAATTGAAATATTCAGTATTGTGACCTGTAGTGACTTGTAGTTTGGGTTACTGGCTCAGATTGATCTATGAATGTGTTCAACCAATATTGAGACAAATTGGTGACTACAAAAATTTCGCCAGAGTGCCATTTAAGGCGAGAGCACATGGAAACAGCAGCATTAGCAAAGAATGTAAAATATAAAGAACTATAACAGTACGAAGTCCAAGGTGATATGTTGGATAATATAAGAAAACAGTAACTGTGGAAACATTTTGAGAAAATGGGATGCAATTATGGTCCAGGTAAAAAGCAAATTTGGATTTATCGAGAAACCAGTGATAGTGTGGAATGCAATAGCAGCACAAGTAAGGGAGGTCATCTTTTTGTTAAATAACACCATACCTCTTGCACCAGTTCTGTGTATTCAAGTGCCCGCTCAAAAGACGCCATTGTAATAAGGGTGCTAAACAGCACCAGGCATAGAGACATCATGATCATGGGCACCTGCGAGTAAAAAGCCAAATGTTAAAAAGAAACAAACGTCAAATCTGTGTCGTAATTTTATGCCCCTTTCTGACAAATATTTTTGCAAAGGCTGAAAATTTAGCGAAACCTTTAAAAATAAAATGCATATTGCTATCTTTACACTTCAGCGTGGAACGTTCTCAAATATCACGTCAGTTTTTAGATCTTCAATTATTCAAAACCTTCTCATAGAGAGTGCATCAAAAAAGAGTAGCAGATGTATACCCTTAAAGGGTCATACCAGGTTAACTTAGTTATGCTTTTTTTGTACTTAAATATATAGTTATATTATTCACACAGACAAACATTCTGCCAGATTATGTCCAGCTTTAAACAACGGTGAAAATTTGTTTTCTTTTAGAATATACGTTGACATGTCATCATCCATTGTATTAAAAAGCTTTTAACCAATTTATGCAATATTCGTGATAGGTAGCACGTAAAAACCGTCCTCCATTTGTTTCAGTTACGTGTGTTCATTTTTGTACTCTGGCTCAAAGTTTATACAGCATTTTCAGCGACTTGTTTTTTGAAAAACCAGCAATATTTTAGGTCGTTTCTCAGGGCTTGACACGTATCAGCGTATCCTGGTTTCAAGTTGGGAAGTCGTTGGCACCTAGGGAAGAATGTTCTTAATTTCTGATATTTCTTCTGCCTGGACATTTCTGCTGGATGATTACAGGATGATACGGTTGCGTCGAACCTTGCATCTAGCTGTCTTTACTGCCTTAGATTTGAGCGATACTGCAGCTTTCTTAACGAATCTATAGGTCTTGTGGTCAGTAGTGCATTTCGTTTGTAGTTTTGTGAAGTTGCGAAAATTTCGTTCCCACATCAAACTTGCCACTTCAAGGAGAGCGAATACGGCGTACGATGGAAGTTTCCGCGCGGCTAAGGCCATTTTCCCACTCCGTGTGTCTGTATGTCTTGCGGGTTTCTGCTATTTTCTCGCAAGTTGCGAGAAATTTGTTTCTGACTGGAAGCATGGTGCTAGCCTGGAGGCAACAAAACTTCCGTTCTCTCGTGAAGTGTGTAAACACCGAGTTTAAAAGCTATTCAGATCAAGGCTCCTTTCCGCTGCGATTATCCGGTTTGCCCTATGTTGATAATAAGAAATTTATTTATTTAGCTCCTAACTAAAGTGCTTTCATGAGCAACTTATGGATACCTAGAAGCTAAACACCAACATTTTATAGGTAGAAAAGATACACTCTAATATGTTGTTATTTTTTTAATGGTTTAGAGATTAGAGATTCGGGGCAATATATTATTTTGTGATTGATCTCTGTGTGTAAAAGTATCTTCGCTTTTATTTCTGCAGGCAGTCCAAGACACTAGATTGACTCCTTTCACGTATTCGACACGTGGTGGATCCTTAATATTTTTCAGATGTATATTGCCGCGGGCGCAGCTAATCATAGGCGAACCGACACTTGGAAGGCTTGAGTGTCAGCCCAGCAGCTTCAGTAGCTTCAGAAGGCGTACTTATATCCCCTTTTGACGTGATAAAATTGTCTTGTAAGTACTATGTATTTGGTTTTCTTGTTAAGGACCTCATCTTTGGGCACCTCAAGGTTTATTCGCACAAGATATCTTTATCTGCGGAGAAAACCGAGTGCGTCATAAAGCTGCAAGAAAGAGGTAGTGGAGAAAATCCAAGCGAGCATTCGCACGACCGAGTCGCGTGTAGTTGGGTCGTCAGAGTCTCTCTTTTCGCGACACTGCTGGCGACATACAGAGGCTTATGGAACAAAAGACAGGGAGAAGAATACAAATAAAAGGCACCACACGTTTTACAGCTGTCAACATAATCCTTTCCAAAAGCAAGGGGACAAAGGAGGAGGAAGGAGGAAGCATGTGTGTTAACTTACGGACAGTGAAGAGCTGAGAGCAAGACCGACGCTGCTGGCGCCGCTGGTGGCGGTAACCACAGTGAAGATAAGGGTGGCAAACACAATAACGAAGCCCACAGCACTGACAAGGGCTCTGCTGATTCTGTAGCAGCCGACGTACGCGTTGTACGGCACCATGTTGGCATCCACGAGGCGACAGAAGTGGCTGCAGAAACGCTCCACCATCCCGTAGGACCGGATGCTGCTAAGAGAGTCCACCGCCTCCGTGACGTGCTGGAGCAGTCGGGACGTGTAGGCTCCTTCCACAAAACGTACCTCGTTGGAAGCACGGACCACAAGACGCTGCTCGAAACAAACGCAAAATGGCGAAGCATAAAATTATAAAAAAGAAAAGATACGCCAGCGTCGACACCACTCTTTTGAAAGCAGGCGGTGTACTGCGTCTATGCGAAGCGCACCTTTGTCTGCTTCTTGCACAGGGGATGCGAGGATCTAAAAAAACTGAGCTCTTATTGGTTGTTGGAAAAACAAATAGTGGGTAGACCTCAAGGAATCTAGCGTCTACCCAGTATCTTTTTAATCAAAGCCAATCAGAGATCGATGTCGTTCTGACGTCACCGCCACTCCAGCGGAAGTAGCAGACGACTTGCTCTCCGCGTAGGGTGACGGCGCCACAAGCACAGCCCTCGGTTAACTTAATCGTCTGCGTTGGCGTTCATCATTGAACACGTCAAAAATCTTGGTCTAATTTTTCACATGAACGGAGCTAAGCATTAATACATGGTGATATCCCCCACTCAGATACGCCTTCGATAAAAAATTTTAAATTGCTACTTGCAGGGGTTGATTTTTTCCGGTGGCCCAGCGATTCGTAACACTCTATTATCATGAAAGGTGTTGATAGCATAGTTGCCATTCTTGTTTCCGCGAATTCTAAGGTCTATTTCCTCCAATAATTATATTTATGTGAATACAGGTTATTTTTCAAGGCTCTAAAGATTTGTGTCAAAAAAGCTGTAAAAACTACCGTAATGTGGTTTTTGCAGGTGCATTATACGACCAGGGAAGAAGGGGGTCGTAATATAGGGATATAGTCATTACGATAAGTCCGTTGTTTTCCTAAAATATTTTTAAATATTGAAGGTTACGACATCTTTCCAAGCGTATACTTTTTGAGTGTCATCAAAATTAAACTTTAGAAAATATTTGGATTCGTGAGACACGCAGTGGTGCGCTAAAGTTACCACTCGCGTAACGGGCGCAAGGCTAGGGGTGTGGAAACGCGCCCGTGTGTTTTCTTTTTTTCGTTCTTTAGTATCCGTGTTTTCACACCGCCAGCATTGCGCCCGTTAAAAAAACACAAATAAAGACTTTTGAAAGATTTCGGGCTTGCGGAAGGCGGGGTGGTGTGGTAAAGTTAGCACTCATGCTAAGTACTTTACCCCTCGTGCAACTCAGCATGAGTGCTAACTTTACCGCACCACCCCACCTTCCGCGAGCCCGAAATCTTTCAAAAGTCTTTATTTGTGTGTGTGTGTGTGTGTTTTTTTTTTCGACTACGCTCAGCAAGGTCTAATTAGAACTATATATTTCTTTTCTATTCAAAATGTCAATGACATAACTGTAGTTAATACGACTCATCGTGCCAATGAGTCAGCCATATTTTGGCTGACTCATTGTTACGGCCGAAAAGCTAACCAGCACAGGTGGCACTAGTGTAGATTTCAAAGCTTTCGAAAACATATCTCTAAAGACCAAAAAAAGACACCCCGATAATTTGAAAGTATTTTAACTGTTTCATCCGTGTCACGTGGTTTATGGGCGGTGTTTGAAACACACAGTGTAAGAAGGAGGAGAAAACATCGATCGTCTCCAAACGACGCAAGGCTTTGCTCAGTCTTTCCTTCCGCTCTCCTTCTTGCCACACAACAACGCACGCATGCGCATTAGCAACCAATCTGCACGAGGAGTGTTTGCTACTAAATTTCGAACGCTTCCCATATTTTGGGTTACTCCCTTTCTGAAATCTAAGAAACGTGTTCAATAAGGTTTGCCTCCTGGACTGTAGCTTTTTTTATTATTATTCATGGGTGGAATTGAAAGATGTGACATTCACATGCAAGATTTGAATCTCCTCTTTCCCAGGAGCACATTATTTTTGGATATAGTGCAAAGCAGTGACGAGGCGCTGGCGTCGTCAACTGCCTCCCTCAATTCTTCTACGACGGCACGCAGAGACTAGTACAGCGGTGCGGAAGTGTATCGCCGCTGGAGCAGACTATGTTGAAAAGTGATGTTCTCGTGGGAGAAAAGAGATCCCATACTTTTATTTGAAAGCAAAAGTTTTCAGTTATCTCTGAATAAAATTTATCGCCCTGGAGGCAAAATTTATTAAACATCGCTGGTAGGTTCTGGTGTACATACCATTCCGAGGACGAGGATCACGGCTCCGATGCCCCCTATTCCCAGAACTACGGGGCTCTGGGTTGCGACGACGGCGAACCTTGACACGGCCATCAGGACATTCTGGATGCACAACTTAACCGTAAGGTAGAAGCGGGAGTCCATCTGCTCGAGGTCGATCGCGAACCTGTTCAGGATCCTTCCTCGGGGCGTCGAATCGAAGTAGCTCACCGGGCTGAACAGGACGTGGCTCAGCATGTCGCGGTGCAGCGAACGGGACAATTGCCGGACGCTCGCTGCCAGCAGAGCACCGCCAATGCACCGAAAGACCACTGGAGCGGAGAAATAGGTGTCCGAGTAATCGACAGTCAGTAGGTTAACCGAAATGGGCTCACTGAGACATCTGCGGACAGTCGATGAGACATCGCGTTGATTCCAACCCGGGCAGAAGTCAAGAAACAAATGTCAAAACTGGCTGAATGTAAAGTTCCTAGATAAGAGCTTCTTACAAGTCGCGGCTTTCTTTGAAACGCCGACTGCGTGACGGTACCCATTTCAGAAAGCTAATGGCGGCGCACGGCAAGGGACTGAACTGAATGACACCATTTCGTTCCAGCGGAATGTATTTTGTCATTTTTATTGATTCTCGTTACTTGTAAAAAATGAAAGCCGTTTACAACTCCCTGTAACGCCGAATTAGAGCGCAGCTCTTGAGGAGGAGGAGGGAAAGGTACTGGGGGGGTGGGTCAAGTGACCTCGGGGGGAGGGGGGTCACGTGACCTTGTGGGAGTCACGTGACCTTGGGGCGTCACGTGACGTCGGGGGGGTCACGTGACCTGGGGCCACGTGACGATGCCGATGACGTCATCAGTGACGTCAACGATGACGCCATCAGTGATGATGATGATGATGATGCGGATGCCGGTGACGTCATCAGTGACGTCACTGATGACGATGCTGATGCCGGTGACGTCATCAGTGACGTCACTGATGACGTCATCAGTGGCTATGGCGTCAACGGGGGTCACGTGACCTCGGGGGTATCCCCAGGTCACGTGACCCCCCCCCCCGAGGTCACGTGACCTGGGTAACCATCATGACCCTCGTGAGGGTAACCCTAGTAACCCTTGTGAGGGCAACTCTCGTGACCCTCGTGAGGGTAACTCTCGTGACCCTCGTGAGGGTAACTCTCATAACCCTCGTGACCCTCGTGAGGGTAACCCTCGTGAAGGTAACCCTTTTGAGGGTAACCCTCATGAAGGTAACCCTTTTGAGGGTAACTAACCCTCGTAACCCTCGTGAGGGTTACGAGGGTAAGTAACCCTCGTGAGGGTAACCCTCGTGAGGGTAACCCTCGTGAAGGTAGCCCTTTTGAGGGTAACTAACCCTCGTAACCCTCGTGAGGGTTACGAGGGTAAGTAACCCTCGTGGCCCTCGTGATCCTCGTGAGGGTAACCCTCATGAGATTAATCCTCGTAACCCTCGTAACCCTCACGAGGGTTACGAGGGTTGCGGTTACGCCGACGGCGACGCCGACGCCGACGCCGACGCCGACGCCGACGCCGCTCAAGCCGGGAACGGGCCCCTAAGAGCTGCGCTCTAAAACAAGTATGGAGAGACTTTAGCTGAACAAACTGGAACAAGATAGCCTCCCGAAGCTTCAGATTGGCAGGAGGCGTTTTTCATTATACTCAACTTCACACTAAGTACGACCGCAGCCAACACCAGGATCCGATGTGTCAATCAAGCAGATCCAAAAACGCATCGTCACGGTGCTATCGCAGGCTATACGCATCGGGTGTACATAATGCGTCATAATCCTCTTTTTTTCCCCTATTTTTTTCTGTGTGTGATTGTCTCAAACATTGATAGAAACACGCACAAAGATGAGGGTGACCGTGACAATGCCTATTTGGTGCTGCTCAATTGGTTCCATTAGGTAGTTGTATTGGCCGTGGTCTAACTTAAACGGGAAATGGGTTGTGGCAAGGGTTATGGCACTACTCGTGCTCCCTAAAGGATCCTTTACAAGTTCCTGCTAAGTGAACTCTATAACTTTCGATCGCTTATCACCCGAGCAAAAAATGCTGAGTCGCTGAGTTGCTTACACATGCGCAGCGTCTGTTATACCGCGCAGCAGCGCAACAGCGCATGCTCAGAACGGGTTCCACAACTTAGCAGACAAAGATAGAGGCGCGCAGAAGGCGATTTTTGCGTAGGTCTATAAGCAACCTCCAATGTTGTTTGGTTTGGCGCTATCTAAGCGAGCAACAAGACAAACGGCAGCATCGTTCAAACGAGAGCTATCACTCTGGTGGCGCCGCTTAGCCTGGTGTCTGAAGCGAGAAATTCTGGGTAGGCCAGGAAGCCGCGATTGCATAACATGCCAGTGCGGCAGAAGTTACGGCACTTACGGTCCAATCGGAACGTGAATGCGGATCACCGGAGTGCGCTTTTACTGCGAACTACCGGACTTTTCGTTGCGTCATGCTCTAATATGTGTGCGTTGCGCTCGTATACGTGGCGCATATCAAAGTCGTTAGGACGCAATATGTGGGGCTTATCGTTCAACCTTTGCCAAGTTACAACAAGACTGGGTATAAACTTGAGCTCTCATTCTGCTGGCGCCGCCTGGCTGCTGCCGGTTGCCAATAGTGACTGAAAAAAATGAGAAAGGCCGGGTGTCTTTTTAGCGAGCTTGGGAAGATGACTAAAGGCGGGACGACTAAAACCCCTCCTTCCCGTTCTTAATCTGTAAGTGACTTTAGATTGAACGGATTCCCTCGTTACGTCTTTGAAGAGGAATGTAAAAAATAAAAACTATCTTGAAACCTTTCTCACCTTTCACGTCTCTACGATAAAAACTAGGCCAGTTTAACCAAACCGCTACGATCGCGAAAGACGAGAGATGTGAACCTTCGGCTTCTGTGAGGTATTGGGATGCCACATCGGAGAACACGCCAATTTTATGGTCGGAAAAGGATGCCAACGGGTTGGTGGAAAGATCGATTGGCTTCCCATCGTTGCTGGAACGGCTACATACCGTCCCCTAAGCAGAGCCCCGTCAGGCCCAAGACCCAGCTGGGATCATAGGAGTTGTCGTCGTTGTCCACGGAGTTGGCGTCGGTCCACTGTTTGATCCAAAGTAGCTGCCAGGCGAGCGCCACGGCACTGGCCGCAAAGAAGAGGAGTGCCGCTGGCATGCAGAAACCGGACAGCCTAAGGAGGGCCCGCGTCACCTCCCAGGCTCCCTTAAAACAAACGAAAACCACACTGTTGCTCTGTTCTCTTTTATGTATATACAGGGTATTTCAGAGAACGCAGGCCAAATCGCTCCCGCGAAAACTACTCATCGCAACGAAAAAAAGCTTGCGGCGTTTGGTCCCGGGCTAGGGGCCTATTTAGAAAAAATATTAAAGTCCGGGATAATTAAGTTGCTCATTATTTCTCCGTAATTAACTTTTAGAGCGCAGCTCTTAGGGGCCCGTTCCCGGCTTGAGCGGCGTCGCCGTCGGCGTCGGCGTCGCCGTCAACGTAACCAAGGTCATCCCAAGGTCACGCGACCCTCAGGGTCACCACAAGGTCACGTGACCCCCCAAGGTCACGTGACCCCTCCCCCAGGGTCACGTGACCCCCAAGGTCACGGGGCACCCAAAGTCACGTGACTCCAAAAGTCAGGTGACCCCCGATGACGTTATCAGTGACGTCACTGATGACGTGACCGGCATCCGCATCGTCATCATCACTGATGATGATGACGATGCGATGACGCCATCATCACTGATGACGTCACCGGCATCCGCATCGTCATCATCACTGATGACGTCATCGGTATCCGCATCGTCATCGTTACTGATGACGTCATCGGCATCGTCATCGTCACGTGACTACCCTACGCCACGTGACCCCCCCAAGGTCACTTGACCCTCCCCAGTACCCTTCCCTCCTCCTCCTCAAGAGCTGCGCTCCAATTCGGCGTTACAGAAAGTTGTAAACGGCTTTCACTTTTTAATATTGTGTTTAAGTGCATGGTTTAAATTAGAAAATTGCTCAGCATCATCGAAAAACACTAACTCAACAAACTGCAGAACGATAGAAGGCACGCGAAGCATTTTACGACTTTCTGAAAAACCGCACAAAATCGACGGGTTTTTAAGTTTCGGTTTGAACCGAAACTTAAATACCCGTCGATTTTGTGCGGTTTTTCAGTGCACTGTATGTCAAACTGAAGTTTTGGGATGTCGTACATGTGACAAGAAATGTAATGGCAACACTCTTTTTTTACAGTGTATAGTGAATTAATTCCCTTTTAGAACGGGACCGGCGCACTTGCGAGTGCCTCTGGTACCGTAGTAAAATAAAATAGTCACTTAAGCTGTGCACTGTTCAGGGAAAGGCACACTCCACGATCTCCCGCGTTTAGGAGTTTTCTTTTGGTGGTTCCGCAATGTCTTTCCCATGCCACCAGGTGGCGCTTCGCGGCTTTCGTCGTCTTCGCGTCCCTGCGGGCGGAAAGACAATCCTCGGGATCTTTGGCACTTTCGCCGCCCCCATCTTCGTAGCCCAGGACCCGTTCTACACTGCACCGTTGGTAGTTTTGCTCAACGTACGCGAGGCGTCTGCATTGGGTTAAGACCGTTCCACAGTCCCCTCATCTTTAACCCAAGATTGTACATATTGGGTCGTCGCCGTAAAGTTCTTATCTCCACCTCTGGGTCAGGAGGAAGCCGGTTCGATCCTGAAATAGCACTGCGAGGGATCTACACCCCCCCCCCCCCCCCTCCCCTTTACTGTCCGTACGGTGCCGGTTAATTTTTGTATTTCCTGTGGAGCGTAAGGCTTTGTTTCTTCGCCATTGATTTTCGCCATTGTTCGTATCCCCTGATAGCGGATGTGGAAGCGCATTCTTCGTGCGCAGCCCTCTTGGGACATAAACGTAAGTCTACCCATGTAGGCTAACATCGTTCTGGCCTCTCTGATTTTGTGGGTGGGCCACCCATTTCGCCGGAGACTGCTGCATTTTCTGTGCAGCTTTTCTCTCCCAGGACCCAACTGCCCAGTTTGTACTGCTGTCGATCTAGACGCTTCAGTACTGTTTCGCTGTACGTAAGCGCGTCATTTGCGTAGGCCACGGCTGGGACCGCACGCGCCTTCCATAACACTGTCCCAACTTAATATTTCTTATACGAGTTTATGGCAAGGTGCCGTACCACTCCTTTTAGTGTGTTTGACTTGGGTATTACATTTCTATTGTGTCGGGCCCGGCAGTCCTTCTTACTCGTTATTGTTGTACCAAGGTATTCGCAGGTAGATATTTTTCTTTCTATTTGCTCTTTGAGGTAGAATTTCGGGCCTAGATCTGTATTGAAGCTCATCCACCATTGTCTTTTCCAGGTTGAATTTGAGGTGTGTTTAGATGTCCATCATGTTTTGTATATCGGCTGCATGCTGTGATGAGAACCATATTGTCTGCGAGGGCCAGGCGTGGGATGCGTGTCCACTCTTCCTCCCCCTCCTTGGTGAATGTGCTGAACCGTAACCCTTTTTCCTCTAGCCGGTTGCAAAGGTTGCTAATGGACAAGTTGAAAAGCGTTGGTGACAGGGACTCCCTTGCCTCAGTTCGATAGTCACCGGCACTGGTAACGCATAGCTGCAGCTTCACATCCCCTGCTCCTCAAGAGTTCGATGCTGTAGTTCTCCAGTTTGCTTAATGCTTTCCCATACAGTTTGATGTGATACGACGTCATATGCTTTCTACGGGTCTAGAAATGTCAAGACCAGCTGGGAGTTTTTATGGTTGTCACCTCTATGGCTTGGGTCAACGTAAATAAGTTATAGCTTGTTCTTCTGTTATGCCGGAATCTGTTTTGAGCCTGTGTAAAGAGGTTGTTGTCGTTGTTGTTGTTGTTGTTTTTCACAGAAGCTTTTTAGCCCATGATTAATTATGCTTGCGAACAGTTTGCATACATTGCTGACTATTGATATTGGTCTGTAGACATTTAGGATTTTCGAATCTGCTTGTATTCCTTTGTAAAGTAGCTTCACGTTTGCTTGTTTTCATGATTTTGATCCTTTTTTTTTCTTTTTTCATTCGAGGATAGTATTAAAACATAATCTATATGGCGTTGCAACGGCTTGCATATGCTCTTGCATTCCACTGCTCTCCAAGTACTGGTTTGATGCGCTCCGCAGCGTTCTGCTGAGAACTCCCGTGCGTCGTACGCAGTGCACGTACGGTTATTTAGACTGTTCTTACACTTCTTACTAACACAATGTTCTTCTGGTTTACGCGGTAGAAAGAAAAGGCGGGGTTCGTGACCTGCGTTTCAAGCGAACAAAGATGCCACATCGGAGATTTTCTTGCTTATAACCCTTGCTACATCGCCGTCAACGCCACTCTGCTTACTGTCGCGAGCATTCTTATCTCAAACAAAGAGCGCAAGAGGGTCACGATCGTCTCCTGATTGCGAAAGTGCTGGATGTTGAAAGAGGGCAATCAGGGCCCTGAATTTGCTTCATGCTTCTACTCCGTGAGGGAGTCCCAATACGCCTTCCGGAGCACAGCTCCAAAACGACCTGTTCACGAGGCTTCTTCTTGCTTCAGAACCACAGATCCTATCTCTTTCTTGATTTTAGTAAAAAAAAAATAATTCTAATCTAGTGTATGTTTACTCGAGGTGGGTATTCTCATGGTTGTGTCCAATCGTGACACACGGCATGACACGCCCAAGATGGAGCGCTCACCGTTTCTGCTGTTGCAGGTTCTCGTCTTTCTGAATTCACTGTGCGGCGGCGCCAAGCCTGGACTACGCGACACAGCCAGATCCCCTACCGACTTCTTTAACACAACGGCGACACCAAACCCAGTTCTGGATGCTTGGGCGACACTGTGCAGGCAACCTGGATCGTCTGCCACCGGCGGGGCCGTATAGGCAACCTGCAATGCTGTTTGGTTTGGCGCCATCTGGCGACTGAAACAAGAAATATTGAGTACCCCTGGGAGTGGCGGCTGCATTGTTCAAACGTGAGCTATTGCTCTTGTGGCGCCGCTGAGCCTAGTGTCCGAAGCAAGAAATACTGGGTAGACCAGGAAGCCGTGATCGCGTAACGTGCCAGTAGAGCGGAAACTACGGCCCTGGCGGGCCAATCGGAACGTGACTGCGTATCACCGGAGCGCGCCTCAACACCGAAGAAGTATCTGGCTTTTCGCTGCGTCATGCTACAATATGTGTGCGTTGCGCTCGTATACGTCGTCCATTTCGAAGCCTTCGGCACGCAATGTGAGGCGTATCGTTTGCTGTTTGCCAAGTTACAACGAGATAGGGTATAACCGTGCGCTCTCACCCTGCTGGCGCCGCCTGGCCGTTGCCGGCTGCCTATATAAGGACGCCCCGAACGCGTTCTTCTTGGGGCATGACACGCGCAAGATGGAGCGCTCACCGTTTCTGCTATTGCAGGTTAGTTATCGGACCACCAGTCATAGTTGCCGATCTAGTACTTACTGTCTGGTTGATGTGTCATGCCCCACCAACACCCTAGCCTTTCTTCAATGTGTTTATGCATTATTTGAATCTTTCTTTGCTTCCTTGTTGTTTCACTCCTAGCTGCTAGTGGCGGGCGATGTAGAATCTAACCCCGGACCTGTCACTGACAGCCCGGGCATACAGGAAAAAATATTGGCTACCGTTCAGAGAATAGAAGATGGTCAGGCAGGGATTATCTCGGAAATAAAAACCCTAAAGGAACAACAAAAAGTCTCGGACGGGCAGATACAAAGACTAACTACGAAAGTTGCTGAATTGGAGGCCGAACTGACGAGATGCAAAGCCACGCAGAATACCCCTGCCTCCGAAGGTGAACTCACTGTCATTTCTTCAAAGTTGCATGATGTGGCATATAGATGCGATGATGCTGAAAATCGGCTTCGTCGGTCTAACCTGCTATTTTATGGTATCATCGATGATGCAAATGAAACATGGGCCTCGTCCGAATGGAAGGTGATAGATTTTTGTTCCCATCATTTCGAAATCAGCATCCACCCAGATAGTATCAAAAGAGCCCACCGAATTGGAAAGTTTAACACTGAGAAGAAAAGCCCTATCATTGTAAAGTTTTCCAGATTCAAAGAAAAAGACCGCATCCTGTCTTCAGGTTTTAAGTTGAAAGGAACACCCTTTTCTGTTGGAGAAGACTTTTCTATCTC